GAGTAGCTGGGACTACAGGCATGTGCCACCATGCCCTGCCTTCTGGTACAATTTTGAAAACATTTGTGCTGCATATTTTATAACACTGTTAACTTTCACTCCTAGCCTAAAGGAATTCCTTCAAGCGGATACAGAGAATAGCTTACTCATCCTCAATGCTTTTGCATCATTAAAACTGAATTTTAGTTTAGAATTGTGAAAAAGCATTCAAGGAAGCTTTATGGGGAGACATGCTTTTTGGCTTTTGATCAACAAAAAGGAAAAAAAAAGCAAAGAAAAAAGTAGACAAGTAGAGGACGTATAGATATGAATCTCTACTACTAAATCCTGCTTACGTTAGTTTAAGAATTTATAGGAGTAGGTTGGGCACAGTGGCTCACGCCTGTAATCCCAGCACTTTGGGAGCCCAAGGCAGGAGAATCACTTGAGCCCAAGAGTCACCAGTCCGAGCACATAGTGAGACCTCACTTCTACAAAAAATATGAAAATTAGCTGGGTGTGGTGGCATGTGGAGGGAGGAGGATCACTTGAGCCCAGGAGTTTGAGGTTGCAGTGAGCTATGGATGACACCACTACACTCTAGCAAGATCCTGTCTCAAAAAAAAAAAAAAGAAGAATTTACAGGAATAAAGAAAAGGAGAAAGTATCAGATGAATCCTGTGGTGGTAGATTTGGCAGTGTGATTGGTCGACATGTAAATTTATTGGGAAAAGATTTTGTATAGGCCCTGATTCATAAATCACAGTCAGTAAATTGTCCCTCTGTTCCCCAATTCTTAGGCCGAGATCAGCAACACTGAGAGAACATTAGATTAAGCACAGGGAGGGAAGAGATACTTAGGGTAACAAGTTAGTACCTGAAAGCCTGGAGAGAGATGCAGTAAATTTGTTGAGAAGGGTGCTAAAACCATTCTTTATGTGACTTAAAATGTCAAGGTCCTGTTGTATACTTACAAAATAGAGGAAAAATTTGGATTCATCTTTGTATCACTACTAACTAGCACAGGGGATGGCAAACTATACTGCTTGGTTTTTATAAATACAGTTTTATTGGAACACAGCCATGGCCATTTGTCTACATGTTATCTGTGGCCACTTTCATGCTGTAATGGCAGAGTTCAGTAGTTGCAATAGAGATTAGATTGTCTGCCAGCTTAAAATATTTACTGTCTTGTCCTTTAAGAAAAAGTTTGCCAGCCCTTG